CACAATTTTGTTAATTACAAAATTAGCCGATATCAAATTTTATATAATAAGATGTCAATCGGAAAAACGTATAGAATACCATGATTGCCATATAATCAAATGATCAGAGAAAAACAAAAAAATATTAAACAAAAATTGAAAAAGTGTGCCAAGTTTTCATTTCTTCATTTATTTTCCAAATTAAAAAAAAGTAACTTAAAAATTAAATTCAACCCCAATCTATATATCAAACTAGTTACAATTTTTTCCTTTAATTAAACTTTCCAAACTAGAAGAAGTTTTTTAAAATCTTAAAATTGAACATTAGTGCTTACCATGTGGGTGATTGGTTAGGCTGTAACTGTAAATTAATTGCTGTAGAATTGGGGCTATAGACGTTTTTGCTATAGTTTTAGAATTTTGGCTGTAATTATTCGAAAGTTAAAGTATGATTGGTAAGTAGTAGATGTATGCTGTACAAATTTTTTATAATTATAATTATAAAATAAATTAATTGATATATATATTTTTTTTTCTTTTTGGTAGGGATAATTGATATTTATATTAATAATGTATATGGAAAATGTATTTAACTAATATAATCTTGTTTCTATATAAAATTAAAAGAAAATATGCATATATATATTAATATTATATATAAGTACTACATATATATTAATATTTTGTATAAGTAGTACATATATATTAATGTTTTTATATAAATTAGTGTAAAAATTGTGTGTATATATATAACATATATGTATATAACTAAGTAGTAACCAACGTCGGAAAGAAAAATCTAAAAAAAAATAAAAAACAACGTCGAAAATAAAAAAAATTTAAAGCTCCCAGAAACTCCGCAAAAATGTGCGCCACTTTAAACGCGGCGGGTATTTTTTTGTGTTCTAAATTTTTGGCGGGGGATACATAAATAATTAAAGCTCGCGCTTAAGGGTATTTTAGTAAATTCATCATCCCCGAATTATTAGGGTTTCCGCCCCCGCCTTCCTCCTTAATTATAAAAGCCCTCTCCGTTTTTTTATCCGTTGCTTACCATTCGCCG